AGGGTCTTATTTTTAAACCCTTGTAACATAATACACATCAGTGCTAGCTGAACTTTCCTCATTACTGATGCTTATCCTTCCAGTTAGAGGTCCTTTCAGCATAGAATCATAGAACTGTAGAGTTGGAAGGGGCCAAAAAGCCATTGGGTCCAACCCCTGTTGGTGCAGAACAGCAAGTTACACCATCCCATTCCTATGACTGTCCAGTTTCATCTTGAATGCTTCAAGCATGGCAGATCTATGATCTCTAAGTAATTAGTTCCACTGTAATATTGCTCTGAAAGTTAGGAAACTTTTCCTGGTATCTGAACCTGGGTTGTTGCAGCTGAAGTTCATTTTTCTGTGTCCTAAACTCTGGGAAGAGTGAGAGTCCTTGTCTTCCCTCTTTGTGACAGCCTTTCAGCTACTTGTACCATACTCTGCAATTCAACTTCTCCCTACCTAGTGTCTGAACCCAGTGTCTAAGCCACCATGATCTTAAAATAATTGACACCTCTTTCAGGTGTCAATTATTTTGCTGCAAAATCTAAAATTACAGGTGCAATCTTCTGGTGCTTTCAGAATGAAATGTTATTTTAAAAGAAGCTGTGTACCTGCCTGGTCTATCTTAGGCTCTCAGAAAAAAACTATCCTGTGTTCAAAATGAATCTCTTTGTTGTTGCTATTACAATTTATGAGTCCAGAAAGAAGGGCAGGTTATGAGATACGTGGAGTGAGAGGCAGAGCCTAACCCTTGTCTTTTAAAATGCTGGTATTCAGGTGGCACTCAACAGCGGATATCACTCAATTTATATTTAAGCATTACTAGTAATAGGGCTTCAAGATAGAGTTTGACTTCAGAGAAGCCAAGGGATGGCCATGACAAGCAAAAGGTACTTACCGCATGTATTTCCTCTATTAAGAGCTTCCATGCTAGCATTTAACATTCCGGCAGTAGGTGGCACAGGTCTGGAAGCTTCCTGGCAGAACAGATATGGCTCCATGGGGTGAATGGCTCTTACACATTGCAAAATCTTGCGGTATGGAATATTCCTGTTCAGGTTTCTAGCCATACATTATAGGCTCTTATTCCCCTTTTTCCACTGGTTTTCTACTTCCAGAGAAAATCAAAAGCAGGCATATTTTGTGGCCTTTTGCTTGATCCTATGAAACGTATTGTTCAGCTGTTCAATTTGGGCAGCAGGTAAGAGGAGGTTCTCATGGACCAGCATGGCTAATGTTGCGCGTGCGCACACACACACATATATTCTTCATTCTCTCACCCTTTCTCAAAACCCTAGCAACAACAAAAGGGGCAGAAAGAAAAGGAAGGTTTTAAGTGACATAAGGTTTGTTTGTTTTTGTTTTTAATTAAATAGACACTTTCAAAAACACAAATACAAAAAGTGTTGATTATAAATGGAGAACTTAGACTGGAGCCAGGACCACTAACACTGCAGTCCTAGGCATGTCTCCTTTGAAATACGGCCTCTTAATTTCAGGAGGGCTTTTTCCCAAAAGGAGTATATAATAGGATCACAGCCAAAACCAAGGGCTATATGCTTACAAAAAACTGTAAGTTCAGTCATGTCTGAATATACCTAAAGCATGCTATGAAAACAATCTTGGTTTTTTAATCCTGAAATTATTCACTTGAAATTGCACAGGGTTTATATATATATACACACACACACACATGAGCGAGGGAGAAAGATTTGAAGGCAGGCATGTTTTGAGCCCTTAAATAGTGTAAACTTATCAGCATAATTAATCTCTTCTACCTTTATCAATGAGCTCTTAGAAATCTGATGGTCCTTTATGTTTGCCCTTTTCCTTGAAGGTCTATAAACTGCTTACAGACACACATTTGCACTGCCTCTAACTCCAAATGAATGAACAGTTTTAAGTTGACTTAGGCCAGGAAGTGGTTTGTTGCTACAGAGTTTGTGGTAGGGGAAGACGACTTTCATTTGCAGATTTTTGTAATTTTTTCCTTGATATTTTTCCTTTCCATGGCTTTCAACTCAGCAACTCTTTTTGGACTCCTCTTCCCCTGCTCCCCCAAAGGCCTATGAAATATTTTTTACAAACTACACTCAAAACCTAAGTAATAGTTGTCCTTTTCCAAAAGCTATTAAGTTATTAGGAGGGTCTCACAAAACTAATATTGCCCAGAATTTCTCCCTACTTCTAAATCATAATCCCTTACCAGCTTTTTTCATCCTGCTTCCTTATTGCCTTTGTTTCCTTGTACGATGCAGACTTTCACAATAGAAGCTTTTAGGGTGTTTTGCACACCCTAAATAGCAGTATTTTCAGTGTCAATTATCCATTGGGATCTAGTCATTTCAGTTGATTAAGGCTTATTACCACATTCATGTGATAGAGTCAGATTCACTCAGGCTTCTGCTCAAAAGAAAACAGACATGCTTTAGACTGTTGATAGACAAAAGCCAAACAAGTTACATCAGTTTTTAAAATTATTATTTTTTGCTTACAAAAAACTGTTAAGTAAGTGTAGCTGTACACTGTGAGTACAGAAAAGATGAAGTTAAGCAGGCTTATGTTCCACTGATTTCAATGAAAGTTAAGCATGTGTTTATTTGTTCAAGTGATGTGAATGGCTAGATCAGGCTTATTTTTGTGTGGTTTTGATAAGGCTACCATATAACTGTGCTCAATCAATTTGCCCACCTAATTAATCAATAAACTGGAGAAGCAAACACTCACAACAGGTTTGATATGGCAAAATAGGTCATGCAAATACACTGATACCATCTTTCTGGCATAGCATTTGGTGAAAAAGAAAATTATAGATGGTTTTTATTCCCAGTATGCAGATAAGACTTCGTGGGGCAGGACTGGAGTTATGGGTTTCCTCCTAGCAATAGGAACTAGAGGAAATTTGTTATTTTATGAAGTGATTTTGACTTTCATTTCTGTTGCAATTCTGAACACATTTAATAAGGAAAAAGAACCACTGAATCCTATGGAACTTGCTTCTGAGTAAACACTCATAGGATTGAAGTATTAATACAATAGAGATTAACCCAAATTTCTCACTGCGGTGAAAAATAAAATGCTCTTACAATATAATGAGATGAATCTGCCACTTATATTAACTCACATTTAAGAGAACCTTAGGATCCTCAAAAGTAAGTACCTTAAGAGTACAATCATATGAAAACTTAGCAGAAATAAGTCTTATGACTCCCAGCATTCCTCAGTCAACTCAGCTGGCTGGAGAATGCTGGGAATTGTAGAATGTTTTGTTAGCCTAAAAATTCATAAGATTGCATCCAAATAGAAGTTTGCAGTATCCTTAAGTAATTTGAAACCTAATCTGATGCATGTTTATTTTGAAGTAACTACCCCTTACTCCCCAGTAAGAGTACATTGGACTGTCATCATGCAGCACAATAGTGTATCTGTTTACTCACAAGTAATCCTAATTGAGTTGAAAGGTGCATAAGGTTCCATGTTCCCAGCACAATCCTATACATGACTTGATTTCAGTGGATCTCCAGGCAAGTGAGTATAGGATTGGAGACACTGAAGTTCCTACACTGAGTACTATCTTAAAAAATGTTACATTAGGATGCTAGCTTTACCTAGAGACTCTGATCTTCCTTAAAGCTGTTTCTAGAAATGGAATACATCAGAAAGTCACCAATGTAGGAAAACAATACTGTGGAATGTGCTGCATTTTTAAAATAAATTCAATAGCCAAAATAAAACTACAGAGCCAGTCTGAACAAAACAATTCTCCTACTCATTCTGCTTGTAGGAATAGTGGTGGCTACTTCCACTTAATCTAGTAAATTATAGTCAATATTGTTATGCCCATATTACAGATGGGGATATTGAGACTGAAAGACTGTTTCCCTATGGCCACCTATTTAAATGTAAATAAATAAAGATTTTGTAGTAAACATTAGGACCAATTATTTTTTCACTCATAGCTCAGTCTCTTCACTTACCATGCCAGTGGTGCTTTATCATGAAAAATGCCAGTCCATCCTCAGCACTGAGGATCCCACACAACCTTGTAGTTCAAGAGGTTTCCACCGGCACTGTGCACTGCTCATATTCTGTGCAATGGCCCATTCAGAGGAAGGTGATCATGCACAACACCCTTGCAATGCAGTGCAAGGTTGGTCCCAACTAACTTGGTGCAACTGGTTCAATTCACATGGCCCTCAGAGCATCTAACGTGTTAGGAATTGGAGCCATTTTGTTTCTGAATTTTATTTTTAGTCGCCTTTTATTGGTATGTTGACAGGATTTTAAATTGGATGCAGGACACGCAGGCTTAAAAATAATATTTTTGCTCTGTAAAAGGAAGGAGGAAATTCATTTGGTGAAGTGCCTTCTTTCGGCACCTAGTTAAATTAGATGCAGTTTCGAGTTTTTTGTTTAATCAATAAAGAATCCTTTTTAAAAATAATAATGGTGTGAATAAAGATGGAGTCAAACGTTCAGGCCCTACGGTGCAAACTTCATACGTGCTTAACTTGACGAATCTGAAGTCCTTTCCTATCGGCACTGGAGTTGCTGCTCTGCCAGACGAGAGCAACCGAGGCAGACGTGGTAGAAGGGAACGGTGAAACTGAAAATCTCCACCCCACGCAGGTCCGCGGAATTGCAGACGAAGATGCCTCCAGGCAGGAGCCCCATCTTGGAGGAAGCATTCCCCTCGCTCTCGCCTTTGCAGCCCGGCTCTGTCACCGCGCTCTCCCTCCGCCCCTCCTGTCACTCATCCCTTCCGCCACGCCCACCCATCGTCCCGCTTGCCTGTGAAGGCCCGTTTCTTCCCTCCTGTTGGTGGCTGCAGAGGAGGGTTTTTTCCCTGATTATTTATTTAATACGCCCGGATTATTTTTGCATATTTATCAGGCTGAAGTTCCTTTTGGACCAATACGAACGGGCAGCACGGCCTCTTCATTAGCATACACACCTCGTTGTTTTGCATAGCAGGCGCCGGGCTTCGGGTACGTGAAGCGCACACGCAGGCACCGTATTGTGTGCAACCCTAGAAGGCAACAGAAGGCAGCCTGGCTGGCCGGCTGGCTGCTCGCAAGCGAAGCGGCAGAGTGGAGTGGAGCAAGGAAAGGGGCAAGCGAGTGCTAGAATGGCTGAAGGGTTAACTTCCTAGAGGAATTGCGCTGCACGCGGGGGCGTCGCAAGGGGAGTTTGGAGACTGCAATGGCAGAGCCCAGCGGGGCACGTTATTACCTGCTCATTGGAGATGATTGACGACGAGCTGCCGCCTTTCCATGGAGCTGGGAGGAAGGAAAGCTGCTGCTGAAGCGTCGGCTCCTTGTGCGGCGGGGGGATTTCGCTGAGGGGGAAAGGAAAAGGAGACTCGCGCTTTGGCCAGCCAAACGCCTAGTGCTGAGGTGGGAAGCGAGGCAGCCCGCCAGCCAGCCAGCCGGCCGCGATAAGAAGAGCTCCGTTCAGCCGCAGGGCCCGGCGAGAAGGGGGAGAGAGAGCACGCATACGCGGGGCTTGGCCCTTTCCCCCGAGGGGACCGCAGCAGGCGGCCGCTGCTGCCTGGAGCGCGCGAGCGACCCTTGGCAGGTCCTGCGAGGAGGACGAGGAAAGGGCTCGCCATGCGCTGCCTGGCTCTGCTCGGCTTCTTCGCCTGGGGCTTCGGGAGTCTTGCTGGGCCCAACGGAGGAGCTTCCCCTCCTCCCTGCCCGGCTTCCTGCAGCTGCGATGGGGACGGGGGAGTGGACTGCTCCGGGAGGGGGCTCACCGCCGTGCCGGAGGGACTCAGCGCCTTCACCCACTTGCTGTAAGTACGGCTGGGGCGGGAGGGCGGCGCGCTTGCCTTTACCTTGCCAAACAGGTTGCGTGTGCTTCCCAGCCTGGCCTGAGTAACAGGGAGAGGAGAGAGGCGCCTCGCTCTTTTCTTTAGCCCCTGGCCTGACCGCGGCGCTTACCTGCGGGGGGATCATCCCTGGCCAGACGGAGCCAGAGCCCTGGAACTGCAGCGCCCGTATCTGGGCAGCTGCACCCGTTGGATTCCAGCATGTGGCTCTGCTTCTGCGTAAGCATTCCTGAGATCGGGCTATACACGGTTCAGATACAAATCCTTACTGCCCGATCCTATGAATGTTTACTTAAAAGGAGCTCTCGCCGTGTACCGTGGGGTTCGTTTTCTAACACGGGTACATCGGATTGCAGTGCTTACGTTTTGGCCGCAGTCCGACCAATACTTATTTGACGAAAACTCCACTAAACTTAATGACACCATTTAGAGCATTTTGAGTAATGGCATTGTTTAGAAACAGTATTCAGGATGGTTAAAGGGCCATAAAAAGGGTCACTCTCCCTAGCCTTTCAGAGATGCAAACCTCCGTTACAGAGTTAGCAGTTCCGGATTTTAGGATTGACATTTTCCTTATTTTAGATTCAAGGACATGGAGCAACCAAAGGAAACAATGTTGTGTATATGGTAGCATATTTATTTCATTTTTATAACACCCAGTAGCCAAAGCTGCCTGGGCTGTGTCAGATATACACTGCAATCCTGTGTATCCACACTTGAGGTTAAGCCCTATTAAACATGCAAATAATCATGCCATTACTGGCTTGTAAGTTCTGTCCTCCCCCCACCACAACCAGGGAAATTGTCCTGAACCTAACTATTGATTTTCCACCCTTTATTTTTTGAGCCTACAGGTCTCCAGTTATCCACTTTTATTTTGAGGGGAGATGGGAAAAGAGGGGTTTGCAATGTTCCTTGTCATTTCTAGTAGGGAATGACTATGCATGTGTACCAACTCAATAGAGATAATGGTAGATCTCAGCCACTATTATTACCACCCCAAAGTCTTCTAGAGGGCACCAATCTGAAGTGATTTATGAGGTGAGGTAGAAGTGGCGCTTGAATGCCTGTTAGATTCTGTATCCAGTGAACCAAACCACGGAAAGTACAGGTATGCTCACAGTCAACACAAAACCCTAGTCTGGTTAAGTAAAGTCAACACAAAACTATTTTGGTGCCTCTGTATTCCATTGTGTTGGCTAATCACACCTGTGCTTTTGTATAATCAGTTGATCCAGACAGTAATATTGGGACTTGGTTTGAAAGCCTTGGAGTTGAAAGCAGATTCAGCAAAACTCAGATTCCAGTACAATTTACTTTCTATCTAATAGAGCCATTATAATGACAAATACAATGGAAAACAATGTTAGGTGTGTACTTCATCTTGGATTTCAAGGGTGTGATATTATAAGGGGTGTGTGCACATGTTTTGGGGGTTTAATTACTCCTGGTGCTGAATAGGCAGACCTCAAAGCTCTGAGGAATTTCCTAAAAAATGTTCTGCTTTCAGTGCTAGTAATTAAGAGCTTACTTGAGGATTCAAGAATGCAGTGTCTAAAAGGATGGTAGAAGACATTCAGGGAGCAGTGAAGCAGAAGTGCTCTTTGGTTTTGAAGGTGGTTGAAGGCTATATGCAGAGTTTGTTGGCTGACATGATTGGAGGAAGGCAAGAGGAATCAAGTGTTAGTTTTGAAATGGATTATGCAGCCATGTGGCATTGCCTAAGGCCTTCAGAAGGGGAGGGATTGACATAATAGCAGAAAGGTATATGAAGCCAACAAGAATTAGACATGACTGCACCAAACCAGGCCTCAGAATACAATAGGTTCAAGGTAGATATGAAGCAGAGCAGTGGAATTGATTGATCGTGAGTGCAGTATATCTTAACCAGGAAAGTTTTACCGATTTTCACTCAGCTGCTTACTAGTCCCAGATTCTTTTCAGGTCACAAATCTAGATAGTAACATTGCGAACATTTTTTTTTTCAGCTGGAGAAATTAAGGATATTTTACCTGTGGTCTTGTGTTTGAGACTGAGGGAAAAAAATATTTCAATTCTGTTATTAAAAAATATTTATAAGCTTTGTTTTGGTAGTTTGCCTGCCCAATAACATTGTATAAATTGTAACAATAGAGCATTGTAACCTTTATAAAATTCAAAGAATGTAAATAAATCAACAGTCGTATACTTTAGCAGGTATATTTCCAAGCTACATCAGTAAAAGATAAAAACAAAATAGAACAGCAACATGTCCAAAGACAAACCAACCATTTGAAACAGGTGGGTTTTAAAATCCTTTTTAAGTACTTGAAATGAAGGGGGCACTTATCCCTTTGGAATAAGTTCAGTAAGACAAGGGCCATCATTAAAAAGCCCACCAACCTAAGAGATATTAAAAAGTGCTGCTGATCTTAATTTTAGTCAAGGGCAGATTCATATGGGTAGATATGCCCAATCCTTCACAGTGTGTGTGCATTTTCTATGATTTGATAGTTCCCATTTGGAGGGCTAGTGGCTAGAGCTGTTTAGAAAAATGCTATGCGAAGCAAAATGTCCACTAATTTAATAAGTTTTATAATGGGCCATATTTTGTTAGGTGCATCCCACCTTTTGGGGAGTGCAGTAGATTTAATAGTTAAAAGTTACAATGAAGTCTTGTTTTGAGCTGCAGTCAGGTCTTATATTAGTACAGCTTCATTCCTTTTTTATTTTTTGGAAGAAAATTGTAACATATATACCTGCATATAAACTCAGGGTATTTATCCTGATCCACTCTTGTCAATATCAGTGAAAAAATAAGCTTGGCTTTAAAGACTGATTTCTGGATCTAGATCTAGAAGCAGTAGCATTCTTGATGACTCCAACCAGTGATAACTGTAAAACCCTTTTGCAGTTTTGCAGCTGGAGCATAACTGGTATAAACGTAAGGCATAGCATGTTGGCAAAGACACTCAGGAGTAAGGGTCTGCCAGAGGATGGCAAGGTCAAGTACCAGTGGGGTGTAATGGTCAGTGCTGGAACTTGGGAGATCCTGACTTCAGCCTCCATTCATGAAATCATGGGCCAGTTACAAACTCAGTCTATAGTGTTGTGAAGATAAGATGGAGAGGAGGACCACCATGTAAGCCTCCTTAGATCCTTGGAAGAAGGAAAAAAGCAGCGATGAAGATGTATTGTAATAATAGCAACAATTATTAAGATATAGTCATTTAATAAGCGTCAATTTCTTATCTGGAAATGGGTATTATTTTCAGTCTCTCTTGATCAATTTGAGCTATCTTTGGATAAACTAGACTAATGGCAGGCAATTCAGAACCTTCCAGTGTTTTAGACTGCAACCCCTATAAATCTGTGGAGCATTGGACATATTGGCTAGGGCTGATAGAGATTGTACAGTAAAATATCTGGAGGGTACTAGATTGTTTAGTCTTGAGCTAGATTGTTTTCCAGCATTTTTGAAGGTATTTGTAACTCCCTTTTGTAACTCCCAAATGTTGGCTTTAGATGTTTGGTCCCTCATGTTTGCCAATGTGTTTTCAGGTTCTGATGTAACCATATGTAGATTTGCACTCTACAGTGTGGCTTTTGAAATGCTTCTTCAGAAGTATCAATGACATGGAGAAGTGCCATAACCAGATGATACCAAAGTGGGGGCAGTGGCTACAACTGAGGAGCAAGTGATCCAGATCCAGAAGGATCTGGTCAGACTGTGGAAGTGGGCAGGGGACAACAGGATGGCATTCAGTATGGATAAGTGCAAGGTCTTGCACTTGGGACACAGGAATAGGTGTCACAGGTACAGCTTAGGGACAAGT